ATCCTTTGGTATATATGGTTGTGACTATTTTCTTCCACTACTTGATCTGAGGAAGTGGGTCTGGCCCACGAAAGCTCATCATCTAATAAACCATCTTGTTGGTCTTTAAAGTGCTACATAGTCCTGTATTTTGTTTCAGCTACACCAGACTAACACGACTACATTTCTATCACTGTTTAGGAAGGAGCACTGCAGAAAGAGGTCTAGGGGACAGAGTGGCCCAGAAGCTAAATATGAACCAACAGTGTGAGACTGTTGCAAAAAAAGCAAACATGATTCTGGGCTGCATGAACAGGAGTGGACGCATTGGAGAGGGTCCAGTGGAGGGAAACCAAAATGATTAGGGGGCTGTAACATATGGCTTATGAGGAGAGGCTGAGGGAGTCTGTATAGTCTGCAGAAGCGAAGAGTGAGGGGGGATTTGAGAGCAGCCTTCAACTTCCTAAAGGGAGGTTCCAAAGAGGATGGAGAGAGGCTGTTCTCAGTAGTGACAGATGGCAGAAGAAGGAGCAATGGGCTCAAGTTGTGGTGGGAGAGGTCCAGGTTGGATCTTAGGAAAAACTATTTCCTTAGGAGGGTGGTGAAGCACTGGAATGGGTTACCTAGGGAAGTAGTGGAGTCTCCATCCCTAGAGGTGTTTAAATCTCGGCTTGACAAAGCCCTGGCCGGGTTGATTTAGTTGGGATTGGTCCTGCCTAGAGCAGGGGGCTGGACTTGATGACCTTCTGAGGTCTCTTCCAGTTCTATGGTTCTAGGATTCTATGAGTGTTGTGAACAAGACACGAGAAGTCATTCTTCTGCTCTACTCGGCATTGATTAGGCCTCAGTTGGAGTACTGTGCCCAGTTCTCGGCACCACATTTCAAGAAAGATGTGAAGAAATTGAAGAAGGTCCAGAAAAGAACAACACAATGATGACAGGTCTAGAAGACATGAGCAATGAGGGAAGACGGAAAGAATTGGGCTTGTTTACTTTGGAAAGGAGAAGACTGAGAGGGGACATGATAGTTGTTTTCAAGTATCTAAAAGGGTGTTACAAATAGGATGGGGAAAATTTCGTCTCCTTGGCTTCTGAGGACAGGACAAGAAGCAATGGGCTTAAACTGCAACAAGGGAGGTTTAGGTTGGACATTAGGAAAAACTTCCTACCTGTCAGGGTGGTTAAACACTGGAATAAATTGCCCAGGAAGGTTGTGGAATCTCCACCCCTGGAGATATTTAACAGCAGGTTGGACAGACACCTGTCAGGGATGTTCTAGATTGTGCTGGGTCCTGCCGTGAGGGCAGGGGACTGGACTAGATGACCTCTCGAGGTCTCTTCCAGTTCTAGGGTTCTAGGCTGTGTTGCTCACACAAATCCATGGCTACTGGGACACTCACACTGGGGTGCCCACTGTCAGGGAATGTCTCTGTCAGCAGCCGGTCCTTCCTCTGTGGCCGAGACCAGACCTTGGTATTGATAACGGGGGACAAGCATCTCTTCTGTGTTTCTCAATATCTATTCTCTTTCCAGTTGTCTGGTGTCAAAGCAGGTGGCCTTTTGCAATGTGTTTTCACACATACCGGGGATATGAAGGTGTAAGTGGTTAACCAGTTAATCGATAAGCTTCACCCTGAATGTGTGGGGCTTAGTGGTTAATTTTAACTGGTGGGGTTGGATCATCTTCCTACCTGCCATGGGCACGGGGCTGCTCCAGCCCCATCTGGGGGCACCCTACAGAGGGGTACTCCAATCTTAGAATCCCAGGGCTGGAAGAGACCTCAGGAGTCATCGAGTCCAGCCCCCTGCCCAAAGCAGGACCAATCCCAAATCAGTCATCCCAGCCAGAGCTTGGTCAAGCCAGGACTGAAACATCTTTAGAGATGAAGATTCCACCCCCTCCCTAGGGAACCCATCCCAGTGTTCCCCACCCTCCAAGTGATGCCGATCGATGGGTCTGAAACTTTATTCACCCTCTCGCCTTCGCTAATTGATGTGAAAGCCATCGTTCTTGGTAGCCCGGTGTTCAAAAAGTCATACATGGGTGGAAATGAGGTTTAAGAGGAATTTTCTGAACTTGAAGCAGAAGGGTTTTTTTGGGAGAGATAGAGGGGTTCGTACTGATTTAATGTGGATAAATGTAAAGTAATGCACATTGGGAAAAATAACCCCAACTATACATACAATATGATGGGGGCTAATTTAGCTACAACGAATCAGGAAGGAGATCTTGGAGTCATCGTGGACAGTTCTCTGAAGACGTCCACGCAGTGTGCAGCGGCAGTCAAAAAAGCAAACAGGATATTAGAAATCTTTAAAAAAAGAATAGAAAATAAGACGGAGAATATCTTGGTATGCCCACATCTGGAATACTGCATACAGATTTGGTCTCCTCATCTCAAAAAAGATATACTGGCATTAGAAAAGGTTCAGAGAAGGGCAATTAAAATGCCGAGGGCTTTGCAATGTGTCCCATATGAGGAGAGATTAATGAGACTGGGACTTTTCAGCTTGGCAAAGAGGAGACTAAGGGGGGATAGGATAGAGGTCTATAAAATCTTGAGTGGTGTGGAGAAAACGAATAAGGAAAAGTTATTTACTTGTTCCCATAATATAAGAACTGGGGGTTCCCAAATGAAATTAATGGGCAGCAGATTCAAAACAAATAAAAGGAAGTTCTTCACACAGCGCATCTGTGGAACTCCTTGCCTGAGGAGGCTGTGAAGGCTAGGCCTATAACAGGGTTTAAAAGAGAACTAGATAAATTCATGGCGGTTAAGTCCATCAATGGCTATTAGCCAGGATGGGTAAGGAATGGTGTCCCCGGCCTCTGTTTGTCAGAAGGGGGAGATGGATGACAGGAGAGAGATCGCTTGATCAGTACCTGTTTCATTCACTCCCTCTGGGACACCTGGCATTGGCCACTGTCAGCAGACAGGGTACTGGGCTGGATGGACCTTTGTTCTGATCCAATATGGCCATTCTTATGTTCTTATGTACCTTTTGCCTTCTCCTTTGGGGCCTTGTTTGAGAGTTATCTGTTCTCCAAACTCACAAGGGATGCAAGATCTCCCCACAGAAGGTTATTAGATATAAAGAATGATCGTCTTCAAGAACTCATAACTCAGTCAGAATCTGAATTTAAATTACGTGTGTTGACTGTACTTGAGGATTGAGTCAAAAGGTGAGAATATTCCAGTTGCTTGCTTGCTTCTTTCTTGCTCGCTGGCTTGTTTGCTTGGTTTCCAAAATTCATGCGTGTAAATGAATCGTTCTGACTTTCTGTGATGGGGATTTCAAAGTTCCTTTATACCTTGGCAACCAACAGCCCGTAAAGTCAAGTGAGAGTTGTGAGAGATTAATTCCTTTAAATGTTTGTTGTTTTGTATTGTTTAATGGTTTGTAGTTGAGCTAAATGTGCTTTGCAGAGGTAAAGGTTGCAACAAAGGTATTTATGAATTTGGACCATGCTACGATCTCATTTTGACCAATGTGAATCTGACGACAATTCGCATACATCTGTGGAGTTCCTTTCAATTTTAATGCCGTTGAATCTAAAAGCTGTGGAGATAGGTAATGGAGTCTAATGGATACGGGAGGTGAATGATTCATAACCTATTGATTGTACGCTCAAGATTTTCCTATCAAATTTGAAACATACTGCAAAGTGTGGCAATTATTGTTTATAAATCATTGTAATACGAAATATTACAAATCAGTCTAATAAAAGATTACAGTCAGTTAAATGTATTGAGCTTGTAGTCCTTCTAGTTTTCATATTGTTTATAGTTCAGTAACTCCACTGATTTCACGGGAGAAATTCCCGTGAAATGAGAGGAAAATGAGAAGTGAAGAAATAAGACTAGAGAAGAAAGAAGACAGAGATAAGAAACTTAGCTGCCATGCAGTAGGAAGCAAGCGTCAAATCATGCGGACGATTGACCTAAAATTGAAGCAAAATTCATATAGTGCCATATAGTCTATCATCAACATGAAATTTCGGAGGGGGCCAATTCCTCTACATTTATACAAATTCTGTACCAATGCAACACTAGAGAATGGAAATTCAGCACCTGTTACTCCAATGTAGCTAGAACTGATTTTTTCTAGGGAGCATGAAAGGCAATACAAAGTATTTTATTGTGCATCTTGATTGAACCTGTTATTTTCTGCATATTATACTATTATTTTCTCTTATATAGTCTATATTGTTTCCTATATTATTTTCTATGATGTTATACAAAACCTCTATAGTCCATCATTCTCTGGTCTGGAAACATCCATTGTCCGGCAAGATTTTAATTAGACGGCTGTCCACTTACACTGGGTGTGACCAAGTTTTCCACAGTCCCATAAAGTTTATTTACAGCCCCCGGTCCTGGCTCTCCATGTTCTGTGCTGTTATTTAGCTCTAATTTACCCCTAAATGTCTTCTAAGAGCTCAGTAAGTAGTGGAAGTGTTGGTGATGCTGCTAGACAATATTGACCTCCCATGGTCCAGCAAATTCTCTGGATCAGGACTGGTCAGGTCCTGAGGGTGCCGGATTAGAGAGGTTCACCCTGTATATATGTTGTGTAGGTTACATGCACTAACAGTGTTCTATATTGCAACAAATCTACCTTGCAAAATTAGTTTAAAAATTGGATTCTTGCTTATTTATAAGATCACTAGAGCTGGATTGAATTTCTGGTCATATCTTAAATCCGCCCTCGGGAAGTTTATGCAAACACTCCACACAGCTTCATGGATCCGTGTCTGAGAACATGAAGAAAGTTATTTCCCCTTTCTCTGTTTGAGTGCCAGGAGGGCAGAGATTATTGTGCTAATATATTTTAGCGTATCTCAGATTTCTCATATGTAGTATGAAATGTCTTCAGTATCGCACGTTCTCTCTCTCTTTCTCTCTCTCTCCATTTCACTGTTGTAGTCTGGATGCGTCAGTTGCCATATTACTCTATCTTCTGAGGAGGTACATAACAAAAACTTTATTCTCTGTTCCTGCAGAAGGAGCACTCCAGCCATGGAACCCGGTAACCACAGCAGGGTGACCGAGTTCGTCTTGCAGGGGCTCTTGGAACATCCCAACCACCTGGGGCTATTCTTTGTACTGTTCCTGTGCCTTTATTTGGCCGTCATTCTGGGCAACTCCCTGATCATTGCGGCTGTGGTCCTCCACCCGCCTCTCCACACCCCCATGTACTTCTTCATCGCCAACTTGGCCATGCTCGACATCATGTGCAGCTCCTCGGTTCTGCCCAAGATGATGGAAAACTTGCTGTGGGGGAAGAAAACCATCTCCTTTGAGGGCTGCATGGCCCAGCTCTTTGCCTTCACTATGTCCGGGGCCACAGAGCTGATGCTCCTGACGGTTATGTCATGTGACCGGTATGTAGCCATCTGCCATCCCTTGCGTTACGTCAATCTCATGACTAAGAAAATTTGCATCACTTTAGCCACTGGTGTCTGGGCTGTTGGTATCATCAATTCATTGGTGAACACCTTGCTTACGCTGCGTCTGGATTTCTGCGGGCCCAACCTCATCCAGCATTTCTTCTGCGAGTTTCCACCAGTCCTGGCGCTGTCCTGCAGCTCCACCTTCCTCAACCAAGTGATGGTGTTCCTGGCAGACATCTTCCTGGCCATGGGGAACTTCCTGCTAACCGTCATGTCCTACAGCTTCATCATTGTCGCCATCCTGAAAATCCGGAGCTCCAAAGGGATGCAGAAAGCCTTCTCCACCTGTTCCTCTCACCTGCTGGTGGTCACCTTGTTCTACTCTTCCATCATTTACACCTATATCCGGCCAAGCTCTAGTTACTCACCGGATAAGGATAAGTTTGTGGCCCTCATGTACACCCTGGTCACTCCCATCTTGAACCCTTTGATCTACAGTCTGCGGAATAAGGAGGTGAAAGTGGGCTTCAGGAAAATCTTCCCATTGGCCACGAAACAGTTTTCCCAAGAGCAAACTTGATTCTTACATGTCTTGTCCTTTCTAGGGCAGGTCCACAGGCGGAATAAAGATTTGTAGGATTGTGACCTTCAATAAATATGTATTTTAACTACGGTGCATTCACTTCCATAGAACTAGAATCATTTACTCAGCTGGGACCATGTTGCATTGGCTGCAGAGTGGTGATGATTGGCCTTTAGGCCTCGTTAATATCAGTCGAGGTGTTGAATCAGTAGTAATTGGATCCAAAGTCAATGAGTCAGTCTTTTCAAGTTATTTAGTGGGATTTTCATAAAGCATAAAACTCAGTGGTCTCCACAGGTCATAGCTTCCCAGATGCTTCTGAAAATCTCATTAGGTATTTAAATAGTCCTAGAAATCTACCCATTCTGTAAAATAAAAATATTATGTGTGCAGTCTTATTGAAACAGAACGCTATATTTTATTCTCAGGGTGTGATTGAATTAAAAAATGCCACTTATTTTCTCTCTGTTTTCTAATTTATTTGGAGACATGAAAACCACAAGCATTTCAAACATACATCAGTTAAGATCTGGAGCTGTCCAGGTTATGTGTCATTGTGCTTCAAACAGAGATTGTAAGGCTGTGTCCAGACTCAGGGGTTTTTTCGAAAAAAGTAGCCTTTTTTCGAAAAAACTTCACCTGCGTCTAGACTGCAGCCGCGTTCTTTCGAAATTAAATCGAAAGAATGCGGCTTTTCTTTCGACGGTGGTAAACCTAATTCCACGAGGAAGAACGCCTTCTTTCGAAAGTGCTCTTTCGAAAGAAGGCGTTCTTGAAAGCAAACAGGCTTTTTAGAAAGAGAGCATCCAGACTCACTGGGTGCTTTCTTTCGAAAAAGCGCCTTGCTTTTTCGAAAGTTCCGCGTGCAGTCTAGACGCTCTCTTTTGAAAGAGGCTCTTTCGAAAGTATCTCTTGAAAGAGCCTCTTTCGAAAGAGGCTTGCAGTCTAGACATAGCCTAAGAGAAACATTTTTATTAGGGTATATTTTTATACAACTAAAAGAACCATTTTCAGCTTTAGACATTTTCATGTTTCAAAATACCTGTTTTGTTGATAAGGGAATGACTGAATCCAGACCTACAGAGAAGACATTAATGAAGCTGTTTTTACTGTTAGCATAATACATCTTTCGCTGAGGTAAGAGATTTCATGTCCAGTTATTATAGCTGATTTAACGTAGAATGTCTTTACTGAGTAACTCTTTGCCCTTCTCTAGAATAAAACAAAAACATACAATCCCCTCTCCCAATTCTTGTATTTTTAAAATATATAAAGTTCTAGCTCATTTACCTGGCATTGCGCGAGTCTGTAACCCAACTAAGGGTGGGGCTTTTTTGGAAGTAAAAGGAAAGTGTACATGCATTATTGAAATGATTGTGTTTTTTTCAGAAATACAGTGTTATTATTATGAAGTTCAGTTTTGTTTTGGATTTCTTTAAAAAAAGTCTTGTTCAAATGTTTCCATTTATTTTTTAGTAATTCTTTAAATGCAATTCCATCAAGTGTATTTTTTTCTTTGTCCCTATAAACTCTTATCATTCACTGTGTTGTAACCAAAAAAGGGCTACTGTCCATTTGGATTCCAATCCATTTTTTTCTAGTTGTCAAACCTTAAGCATTGATTTAACAGTGCCAAAACAGAGCACTCCTCCAAATTTCTCTATTTTCTTGAGAAGCAATCTCATTCCATTTTCATCCTATTTTTCATCTTGGTTCAATCTCTTTCAACATTCACTCAGGGTATGTCTACACTACAAAGTTAGTTCGAACTAACGGACGTTAGTTCGAACTAACTTTCATAGGCGCTACACTAGCGCTCCGTTAGTTCGAACTTAATTCGAACTAACGGAGCGCTTAGTTCGAACTAGGTAAACCTCATTCCACGAGGATTAAGCCTAGTTCGAACTAGCTAGTTCGAACTAAGGGCTGTGTAGCCCTTTAGTTCGAACTAGTGGGAGGCTAGCCCTCCCCAGGTTTCCCTGGTGGCCACTCTGGCCAACACCAGGGAAACTCTATGCCCCCCTCCCGGCCCCGGACCCCTTAAAGGGGCACGGGCTGGCTACGGTGCCCGTGCCAGGTGCAAGCCTGCCAGCACCCAGCTAGCAGACCCTGCACCTGGCACGG